TCCCTTCTGTTAGATGTGACACCTAACTGAGATTTTATTACAACCTTTTGCACTGCGGTTTATCTATTGAAAGCCATTCTTCACTTGCCTGAATGCACAAATTGGTTTAGGGGCGGCCAGCATTAAAAATTGACAGGTGTTTTCTATTAAGGTGAGATTACAATATATTTTGCGGCAGCACCTGCCTTTTCTTGTCAGTAAGTTTTCGGTCTGTGGCTTTGCAGCTACCCTGCTTCTCCCTTTGCCCCCAGATCCCGATCTCTGGATTTTTTTTTGTACTGGAAAGGAGCAGGCTGTGCCGCCGCTGGCTATGACCTTGGCTCTCCCCTCGGGGGGCTGGCACCGTGCCAAGTCCTCTGGCACCCGGGGCCGACCCACAAACGGCGGACCCGCCGGCGCTAACGAAAATCGACACTAATGACGCCTTGGGACGCGTTTGTGGTTGCTGGGCCGTGAGTCGTCCTCACTCTACAGCCCGCGGGTGTAGATGTGCGAGACATTTGGGAGGAGACGAAACTCAGCCAGCCGGGAGGGACGGGAGGCGGAGGGGGGGGATAAGAGGAGGGAGGGATGGCTACTCAGCTCCTTATCGCTGCTGACATAGCACAGATGCTGGATCCTTCTCTCTCTCGAGAGAGGAACATATCAGCTTATTCTGCCTCTGTCGATGTTTATTTGTCCTGTTGGATATGCGATGAGTGATTTTGGTGACCTATATCGTTGAATATAGAATATGTAAGGTTATGAAGCTAAGTGAAAACGTATACCTAGTCTTTGTGCTATATCACACTTAAGACCTCTGTAACCGAAGGTTTGTTGTCAATAGTTAAAACACTATTCTTTAGAATTATGTTTTGCTATTGAAAGACAAATCTGAGTTCATATTATTATTACACCCATTTATATCAAATCTGAGTTCCCTGACAATTTGGCAAAAGTATACTGAAGCCAGATATACAGGGGTATGTGACCAAATGTGGACATTGTAACCAACGTTGTGCTTACTCAAAATCGTCACAAGGTGACTTCAAAAATAATGTTTTCTCTATTTTTGTCCATGTCAAAATACGCTTGGTCCTGCAGAAGACTCTGCCGAGACACAGATCGGTCGGATTCGGTTGGTTTGTTGGGAGTCGATAGATGGACGGGATGTCTGCCAGATGTCATTTCTTCCCCTCAAAATCTCCCCGTCATTTGACACCTGATAGTGGCTAGGGTCTCTTCATGGGATCAGTAGCAGGGGCAGATGTGGGGTGTAGGCCGTATAGTGGTCGTAATGAATGGTAATGACCAACCACCACTGATGGGCCAGCGCCATTTTTGACTCAAGTGAAAAGATAAATACAGCAAGGTACAAAAAAGCATGGAACTTCCAGGCCAGTGCAGTATTTTTATCTTCCAGCTAAACACCCTAAGAATGAATGAAGTGATATATGATATACGAGCCATAAACTAGACGTAGGTATGTAGAAGATATCTGATAGCTAGGCACATGCTCATGGGCCATCAGCGCATTCCGTCCTGCTTGAATGCTAGAATCCGCCAAAATTCATAAACAGAAGCGTCCGTCAGCCGTTTCGGTCCGCCGCAACCCTCGGCTGGAGTTTGTCCAGTGGCTCGATTTGTGACATCGATGCCAGCAAATATTTAGCATTCCTACGCGCAGGCCAAATCACCACTGACAGCTACACCATGGCAAATGCCGATTTGCGTTATCGTCCTGCAAAGACCTTGAACAGTAGTGCAATGACCATCCATCAGCGTTACAGGAAGCTTGCAACTTGAGTTGCACACGAGATCTGTGCCTAGATTTCGGGGCTATGGCCCCGACGACACGCTGCACAACGAATGTCAAGAGTCGGGCAAAAACGACTCAACATGCGTTGGTCTGAGTAGAGCTAATTAGCTTCCCACGAGCCCAGCTAATGAGCGGGTCACGACTCATGGACTGGCGTTAGTTGCAGTGTCGAACGCGCGGGGTCGTAATTAACGCGCTGGCCACTGAGCCGACTCGCGTTTAACTCAGGGGGTTGGCCGGGGATTTACGTTAGTACGACCAAGGCCTGCATAGCATGCATGGGAACGCAACGGTTCGTCGACCGAGCACATTTTGTGACAGAATTCATATGAAACGCCATGGACGCACAAACTGGGTACATTTGGAATTTGATAGACCTCAGAAAGCTGAATAAATACATGTATAAAAATGACAGCAAGATGAGTACCTACTACCTACCTATAAAATACATTAGAATTAAGCCGCTTTACATACTGTAAGTACGTTTCTTTACAATTTCATAATGGCCAATTTATTAGGCTGGACGCTATGGCCTATGACAACCGCTTGGTATGTGAATACCGGCAGGTTCTGCTCGTGAGTGACTCACTCGACATTCCATGTGGCACGGCCGCTAGTCGTGTGCTTTTTCATACCTTGTTCATTTTCATTCGTTTATCGGCTGGCTTTCCGTTATCAATTATAGAGTGGGGAAATAGTGTCATCGTTGTCTGGTTCTGCGGGGCCATTAACGGTCGGTCCTCGGCAGCGGATGCCTTGATGCCGCCTGTCACAGCCGTAGAAATAAATGAAGACCTCTTCGTCACCTGCTTCTCCAAAGGTTAAAAGGGTTCACCACTCTACCGAATGCCTCCAACTCTTACTTTTCTTTCCCTAGCGGTCTCTTTCGTAAGCTGAAATGAAAATAGCTGTCATGACTTTTTCTTATGTGGAACTGTCAGCGGCGTTGTATGATAAGAACAAATGATATCCGCATAGTCACTTTGTATCACGTATAGTCGACACTTGTACAGATGCTCTCCACAGCAGCTGCATTGTTGGTGATTTGTTCCGCCGTCACCCCTTCCTTACTCGGCAGCTGCCACCCTTCTACCCCCCCCCCCCCGCCTCCTCTGCTCCTCGCACACATGTCCGCCTGTGGCGAGCCTGGGTGAGGACTGGGTGTGGGGAGGCGGGGAGGGGGACGGTGGCAGACCCGGGGCCTCCAGACGCTCAGCTGCCGGTCCGATATACCATCGCCGTCGCGGTGACCCATCGGCCTGCCGCAGACGGGAGCGAGGGCGCGGTCCGACCCGACCGACCGCACACACAGGGCTGTGACGGCTGTATCGGCGGGATGAGTTACTGCGTTAGCATTATGCGCTGCTTGGCATTGACAATGCTTCTCAGTATGCAATGCTATACCAATGATTTTGCTTGCAGTGCGCGCTGCATTGTGGCTCCGTTTGGTTTCACGCTTCACAGCTTCCACTGTCCATGGTGATTGATGAAGAAGAAATTTGCTCCATTGATGGACATTCGGTGACATTTTGGATTGAATTTGGTATGTTTCTTGCAAGTTGTGCCTCTCTCACACCCATCCATTTCATTATCCCATTTCATAACAGATGCCACTCGGCTGTTACTGCTTCAGGTCTCTGTCAATTGCATTCTGCCGCTGCTGTCGGTCACTCTCTCAGCCACTGCCAACTGTCCCCTCTGCCGCTGCCCTCCACACTCTCTATAAGCCACTGCCAGTCTCATGCCGCCGCTGCCGGCCAGACCAGCATATACCACCTCCTAGCGTATACCGCCGGCGGCCTGCGTCGATTGAAAACCACCGTTAAACGACGCGCCCGGACCGGCGGGCGGCTCACCGTGGGACACACGGATACGGGGCGTTATTAATTGACAGCCTCCCGGTCAGAGACGACGCTGGGTTCTCCGCTGTCTCACTGAGTCCAGTCTGTTTGTGCATTCCCATCTTTTCTTTTGCTTTTTCGTAACACATTGTGATTTAATCCGCAAATCTCAGTTTTTTTCCCTTTGCTTTTATCGGGTCAAAAACCAATCATTTTCCAGCTCTCGCACATTTTTGTTTGTGCTGAAACTCCAATGCATCTTATGTTATATTTTCTTACACTAGGTCACTCTAACTACCGTCACTATTTTACCAGTATCCTTACACTGTTTCCAACGCCGCCGCCGCCACCGCCGGTGTCGGCGCCGATTTACGTCGGCACGGCCCCACGGCCTGGGAGCGCAGGACTGCCGGGCGGTCGCCAGCCGGTGTAAGCTATCCGCTCACCGCAGACCTATAGCCGGCCGGCCGGCGCGGCGGCCGACCTATAATCGGTAACGGTAGCGGGACGGTCGGCTCTGGGCGGCGGAACATCACTGATGGCGCGTGCACTCGGCGAGACATGTGGTGCGCGGGTGGCTGCGCCGCAGCCCCAGGAGCACACTCGGCGAATGACGGCACCCGCAGGAATGCCATTGTTACCTCTCTGGGTCAAGATCGTGTGTGGCTAAAGCTGGCGCTACGCCGATCGGTTTTACAGTTTGGAGACTCGCATTGTATGCGGATGAGTGTCATGGGTATGTATGCCAAACAAGCTCGTAAATCAGTGAGCACTGGCTGTCCTGGGTACGCTTATACGAGCCTGCATTGTCATATCCTAGTAAAGCTGAATGCAGCAAAGTGACAGTCTGCAATTATTCGTGCAAGACTGTCCTTGCAGGCCGGTTGGATATTTTATTTAATTATTGAATTGCACTGCTAGTTTGCGGACAAAGTGCGCAGAACTTTTGTCGTGGTGCTGCAGATCCGTTATGCGAGCCGGCTGCGTGTCGAAATTAATTCCTTTGATACATCGCACACCCATGTCACACGAATGCTTTATGGTCGTGTGTGGGCTCGGCCTCTTTCCTGCCCAAATATAAATCTTTCAGTTCCACCAGCCGTTATCTTCGAAAGGTAACACTCATCGACTTTCCAGCTCTGCTAAATACCTACCTTTCAGCCGTCCCAAAGCCCGACTGCCGCCTCCTGATGCCGAGCACCAGGGAGAAGGCACGCGCCGTCTGACCCAGGGGTAAACACGGGCGGACCGCGCATCTATCACCGCGCTCTGCCCGGCCTGTCTCCACCCCGGCCGAGTGATAACCGAGACGCACATTCTGACGGCGGCCACCTCTTTCCTCATTCCGGGGTGCCGTGGGCACTGGGCTGGTATGTGTGCGCGTTCCTGGCGAGGTCCAGCGGCCGGCGCGTGGCTGTCCGCCGCCGCGCCGCCGCCGCGGCTCGTCGTTGGAGGGCGCTGAGGTGCGGTACGTCGCCGCTCGGCGAGGGCGCCAGGCCGGCCGGCAGTCGGCGCCGGCGCTACGGACGTGCAGGCCGGGCGCCTCGCGCCGCGAGCGAGCAGTGGCGCGCGAGAGCCAGCGAGCGAGAGTGAGACAGAGCGAGAGAACCAGAGTGAGCTAAGTGAGCAGGGGAGCTGAGCGAGGGCTGCGTGACGCTGACAGTGAGAGAGGGATACCGGCAGTGCTGAGACGGGCCTGGGGCCGGTGTGAGACAGACCGTCAGGTCACGGTTGGGAGCCGCACTCGGCTCGGGCAGTCATGCGGACCTTTATGACCCAGACCAGCGTGAACTTGGAGCAGCGACCCCGCCCTCTCACCAGGTGAGTCCAGACGGAGCTGCTCTCTCCTTCCTCCAAACGCTCAGCTTCCCAAGCTCAGCTGCGAGCGTCGCTGCGTTGACAGCATTTACACTCGCTCTCGTGCGTCAGCAACCGGAACAACTGCCGATGCCTCGGCCCATTCAAGGCTGCGAGGAATAAGAACCGTTTTGCCTAATGGGTTACGTGCTGGCCAATTAACTGAAAGCTGACAGGTGCGGACGTGGGGAGGAAAAGCGAATCACGCGCCCGTCCATAATCTGCTGTGGGCGCTGAATATGAGCGAATCCGGCAGGGTGCACGGAAGAGCACCGTCAGGATTCCCCGAGACTTTGGGCAGTAGTACTGACCAGTGTTCGATTCTACCTGCAAAAATTGACCGTTCCGATGTTCCTTTTTTGCTAAATTACCTTCAGATTAACCCGCGCCCGGCTGGGGGTCCTGGATTTCCACGCCCTGCTGGGGGGGGGGGGGTGTTTGAACACCCCCCCCCTTCTAACTCGGCTCCTGGGCCACGTAGCGATACGCGGAAGGCGGCGTTCGAAAGAGCGTAAAAAATAATGAGGAAATCACTTCGGTCAATTTTTTGCTCAGGTCAAAGGTCAGGTCACCAGAGGTCATTGAAGGCAAAATTTCGCCGATTTCCAGGTCGAATGTCGAAAATTTCCAAGAAGCCAACGCATAACTCGGGAACCAAAAGAGCTACAGCGGCGCGGAAAAGCGCATTCGATAGCCCTTTTAACGCCCTTTCTGAATAATTTTCTCAGATTTGACCTAACGTCAACGGTTTTGCCTGCAGGGGGCAAAAACTGCAAAAATAGCCGATTTTTTCGGAAACAGTTTTTCTGCAATAACTTTTGACCCAAGCCTTGTACGAGCTTACTTTTACCGCCATCGTGTTCCTCTCGTCAAGACGCATCGAATGAACTATAACTTGACCTTGAAAGGTCAACTTGAAAATTTGACCTCAGGTCAAGGTCATGACCTGACCGGAAAGGGTCATGTTGCATATCAGTCGATCCGTATCGTCGAGCTGAACACATCTAAGGTGTTTTCATCGCTCTAGCATGCCTCTATCAAAAGTTATTTGCGAAAAAACTGTTAGATACCATTCGTGACCTAAGATGACCTCAGGGCATAAACAGGGGTCACGGACACCATTTTCATGTTCAGTGTGTCTAAACTACTTGTAATTCAGTGTTTGGGAGTGTTTATAATGTCTTTCGTCCAAAAGAGGCGCATTTCAATTTTCTCCCATTGACTTATAATGGGGAGGTCTCAAAATTGACCTGACCTTAGGTCAACGATATCAAAATTCTGAGATATACATTTTGTACATGCCATTGCTCTTAGCAATCGCTGAAAGTTTCAAAGCATTCGGTCACTCGGTGTAGCTATGACAGACATTGAAACTTTTTATGAGGTGAGGTCACTTCAAGTGACCTGGTGACCTGACCTTGAATGACCTTGGTCTGAAATTTTCACAACATGTGTAGAATTGATGTATGATAAGGTGTACCAAAAACGGTGGCGCTCCGCGCCGCCGTTTTTGAGATATTCGCGAAAAACCACAAGGGGGGGGGGGTGTTCAAACACCCCCCCAGCAGGGCGCGGGTTAAAGGGAAGGATTAATGTTGCGTGACAAGAGTGAGGTCGTGTCTTCAATTACCTCTGTAACCTGGCTGTCTCACTCTCTGCTCAATCTTCCCATCCTTCCAAATCACACTTCCAGCAGTTTGCCCGAAGCAATACTAAGCGACACCCTTGTGGCTGTCCTCAGACCCTAAAAAACTGTGGGTGCTAAGCGGTACAATCCGGCCGAGTCAGCAGACCAGGTCCGACAGCAGTCCGACCATGAAATGCGCTTAATTGTCACGACAGACCGTATTTGGCGGCAGGAAGATTGTCCGCATGCCGGCGATGGTCCGTCGGCGGCCTACTGCGGGCTGCGCGGCGCCCCGGCGGCGCCCCGCTGGCGCCCGTGGCTCGTGCCCCCCCCCCCCGGCGCCCGCGGACATGGCTGAGGTGCCCCCGGTCGGGTGGCTGAGGTCGGGTGGTGAATCGCGCCAGACGCGCAGCTGTTGTACCGTCTCACCAAAGTCGTACAGCTGCGAATAACATCAGCCATACAGGGCCTGCAGTAATGCAGACGTCTGGTGTAAACCGAGCGCTCGTTGTATGAGTTCTATACGGTCTCAGGCGCCATTGGATGTCACCAGTGGATGTAACACGGACCGTTACACGTTATCTGCCGCTTAACCTGACACTGCCGCTCGTGATTCCTTCTGACATTTCCTGTCGTGTCATTTTTATACGGTATGGGACGCTTCCAATGAGCGTTCAACATTCGCGGAAGACGTCTTTGAACTGGCGGCTGCAGCGGTGCATCCGTGGTGAACTCTGCAGCGCAGCCTATGGCACGCCGGTGCGCGCTGGACGCCTGCAGTCCGGGCCGATTTTCCTGACCATCCTCGAACCGGCCCCGCTCACCGGCCGACGATCCAGCTCGATAGCCTATCATCGACCTCGACGATCGACAATCGATGTTCTGCCGGCGAGGGGCCGGTCTACGGGAACCGTTATCGGACGGGGGGTCCTGGGGTTCCATATCGGTGTGGGTCCGGGCGGGGCTGATTGGCAGGCGGGAGAGGATGGCACTGTCACAATAGCGTTGCGCAGTGCCACTCCTGAACTGCACTGTAGAGTCTGCCAGTGTTTCATCATGCGCCGGACATCTAATGGGTCCGCAAAGTCCCTGACTCGTTGTCGACTCCTGACTCGTCAAACGGGCGGATAGGAATGTTGACTCGGATGGGGACACTCCCCGGATGTGGAACTTTGCATTTAAACTCGACTCAATAGCCGCAGTGCATTCATCTGACGCAGCCTTGATGTTTCAATTGTTGCACGGAAGGCACAGCATTGCCGACGTGCCTATTCCGCCAGGGACTAATGCGGGGCACGTCAGTGTCAGTGTGTAGCGGACCACGCCCGCTCCGACCGCGCCGCCACGCCCCTGTCAGACCGCTCAGTCACGCCCATCCAGCCGACGCGGCACTTCCGGATGCACTGCTTCTTCATCGGCCTATAGGGTGCAGGATAGGGTGGCACTTAGCAATAGGGTGAAATTTATGTCATCCGATTTTTAGGCGTGCGGGTAGTTTTCTGGTTCCATTCCCGTAAAAAATAATGTGTGCAAAATGATTTTGAAAAATATTGATATTTAGGGGTCGCGAATTGAGGTCAAAGTTGACATTTTTTGGGGAAAAATCGACTTTTTGGAAACTACTTTAAACCTATTTGGAATGACATATGTGGTCATTAAACGTCATTTCCGACGTATTTTGACCTTTATTTGTGTAACAATTGTTTATCCCATCACTTCCGGCCGATCGTAGCCAGTCCAGGTCAGGCCAAGATAGGTCTGATCTGGGCTGTTTTACCCATGTCAGGCCTGTTTTGACCTGCGACCGGTGCCTTCTCACAGTGGAGGTCATATCCTCTGATTAGTGTGAGGAGTGACCGGTCTCTCCTGTTCCAAAGGGAGGACGAGCCCCACGGTTCTATCGGTTCTTGAGACATGCTCCTTTTCTGTCAAAGAGAATGTTAAGAAGTTGGAGTCAGTCTATAGCCGGCGGGCAAAAGCAGAGGCGAGAGTGTGCATTGAGCTGCACTGGTTTATTGTGCTTTCGGGATGTTCTTCCGTGGGCGCTTCTTCCGAATTTAGTGCCATTGCCAGCAACAGACTTACCTGGCCGCTGCGGCGCGCACACGGAGGGAACGTCTTTGACGATGGCGACCATGAGAGAGAAACGCCGACTCACACTCCCAAGCGCATGCGGGCGAGCGGACGTCCCCAACAGTGAACTGGCCTCGACCGGGCCAAACTGCCCAACCGTAATGTGTGAAGAACACGTGAGCCTGTTATCAACTGCGGCATGGAGCTTAGGATGCGACTCCGGCTGAGCCGCGAATCCTGAATCGCGAGAGAAGGAGCGTCGACCGATTCTACGTCCTGGTGATGGGGAGGGGGGAGGGATTGGGGTGGCCAAGCTCCTCGCCGCTCCCAACCTCCCCTCCATCCAAGCACAGGAGGCCATGCTCACAGCGCTGGGGGACTAAGAACTGGAGAAGCGGAACTGCGGCCTTTTACTTCGACGCCACGACGGCGAACAGCATGCTGGTGAGCGGTACGTAAGCCCTTATCGAGCAGAAGCTGAATCGGCCCGTCCTCCAGCTGGCCTGCCGGCACCACGTGTAAGAGCTGGTCCTAGAGAAGGCCTTCTCCACCTGCCCTAGAATCTCGAGCGGCCTCTAACTACATCCGGCTGTTTAAGAGGTTCAAAGGCGGGTGGGAGTTCATATGACAGGATCACATCGATGGCGTTCGCCGTCGACGACGTTCCGGAGTGGGACGAGCTGCTGGTCAGCTTCCATCGCTTCCATCGCTGGACTATGCCTAGCTCCGGGAATACTACCGAAAACTTCTGGAGCTCTGCGTAATTGCTCTCGGTGGAGTTGTTCCAAGCACGGCATCCGTTTCTCCGCCTCAGAGTACTCCACTGAGTTAGGTGGATGGCAAAGACCATCCGCTTTGTGGATGCCTTCCTCTTCAGGGAGCGGCTCCGGCTGACGGCGGCCGAGGCCCAGGTCATCAGACGCTGTGCGCTGTCCGTTGCCTGCAAGTTTGCCGCCGCCGCCGCCGCCTGGTTTGGGACTCTACTGCCACTGCGCCGGCTCTGGACCTGACCTTCGTGAACTCGTTATGCACCTACCCCGAAAAGGAGCTGTCGAAGGCGACAGTCCCGGTCTTCAGCCGTCACCTGTAGTACTTGAGCGATCGGCTGGTGACTGGAGCTTTTAGACCCCGACCCTCGGGCTTAATCAACACATGGTGCGGGCAACAGACTTGTAGGAGAGGGAGGACGAGGACCCGCCCCATAAGTCCTTAGTGGACACTATGAACGCCGCTCTCGCGACCGAGACGTTGGCGAGCTTCCTCA